AAAAGCCAGTGGCTATAAAAAAACTACAAAAGATTATAAAAGAAATATCCACACACCAGCTTTATATACATGATCAATTGGCCCATGTTTTCATTTTGCTTTCTATCAAACTTGCAGACAATCAAAAGTTACAGAACAAAGAAATCAATTTTCCAAAGAAATGATGTTGACGCCTGAAAGAAGCAAAATATAATAGAAGAAAGAGATGCAGTGACCAATACAGAACTACTAAGGTGACAAATCCCAATAAACAGTAGCATAAAAGAAAACATTTGGGATAGAGTTAGGGCCTGAGTGGGGATGAACCAATAAACTACACTTATATGCACAATTTCATGACTTTGTAAAAATCATTTTAAAGGAGCAGACATCAATGTATTGGTTAAAAATACTTTCTTATGATAAAGTTCAGAACTAACCTGTGCCAAGATAACTATTTTTCCAATCAATGAATGAAACAAAATTACAAAATTCCAAGTAGATCTACAATAGTATTTTTACTTTCTCAATAACATTTTGTTCTGTGTGTTTAAGTTACTGGCTATGACACTGCATGTTTTTTCTGTCAACTTCACTGGAGTTCACTGTGAAGTTAACATTAAAGAGAAAACGGACACCAGAGAGTGTATAGAAAGAGTTCTCAATTATTCAAGTCATGGTGCTAACAATTAAAGAATGGAAATATTTTAGTTTGTTTTTTCATTTCTTTAATCTTCAACTAATGCAGCAAAACTGTCATGGACAAAATAAGATACAGTAAGCCATAGTCACATGAATTTAGAACTGCACCTCAGAAGTGGGCCAGGTCAAAACATGAAACAAGTCTGGTGTTACCCATGAGTGATTATATTGTGGATCAAGGGTGTAGTTTGACACCATGCTAAAGAAGCTTTGAGCTTCCAACACAAGCCATTTGCCAATTCATTAAGTAAACCAAGAGCTGATTGTGATTCATATTTAGACAATGTGGGATTTATGCTTTTAACACTGGTATTTATTATTATTGTTGCTGTTTTTATAATTTTGCTACATGTCTTTAGTATGCTAATGAGTTTTTAGTTTTATTCTTGATAAGTTGATAATGATTTTAATAGTTTCCATAAATTCAAAAAGAATATATCTTCATATTTTAGTTGAAGAGTTATCTATTGAGGGACAAAACAATGTTACTTTAGATACCTCTTTAAATAAAACAAAGAGATGACTATGGGTGTACCCCTCCCTTTTCTCAAAAATAAATAAATAAATAAATAAAACAAAGAGATAAGCATATCATTTTTATTTTTCAAGGAGTTCTTAAAAATAATATCATGCTCCAGGAATTTTGGCATATTCAATACCTAAAATAACATTTTAATACTTCTGATTTCAGAATATCATATTAGCAAACTATTAAATTGCAGGTAAAGTTTAGACGTTAAATAACAGAGATAATCCGAGTAATAAATGAACGAAATTCCACTCTAGATCTGCTAATAGAGAAAGAGAATATTAGGGCAGATAAGCAGGATGCAAAGTGAGCACCTGGAGCGTAGAAGCTCAACATGCGATTGGCGTGATACCTGCATAAGAACAAGAAAAACAACAAACGAAATGTCATAGTTAGAGACTTCGATTAAAAAAATAATAATAATAGAATCAGATCACACGCGGACGGCAGCAGCAAAGTCAAACAGGATTAAATTAATCCATACCAGGGGATGAATATGGCATGAGGATCATCACTGTCGTGATCCTTGATGATGTTATCGGGGATCCTCTTGTTGAGGTCACGGAGGATCTCGGCCAGGGGGCGAGTAATGCAGGAAGACGACTTGTCCAGCGGCACCATGTAATTCGAATTAGGAACCGACGATGAGGACGCAGCAGCCTTCTTACTGGCGGCGCTCTCACCGGCGCCGCCGTTACTGCTGCGGTCCACCGCCGCCACACGCAACTTCAACGCTCTGCTAGGAGCAGGGCCAGGGCAGCTCCTCGTAGCAATCCTACTGAAATGAACTCCTTCCTGCCTCGCCCGCAGACGCAACGGCGGCCCTCCCGCCTCCGCCACCGGAAGCTTCCAGCTCGAGCAGCGTGAGATCATTCTGTCACTGAATTTTCTGATCGATTTCAGACGGATTTCTCTGCTCTGAAACCAGACCGAGAATCGGAGTGCGGTAAACGTGGATTCAGAGCTCTGACTTTACAAGCTGACGGTTAGGTGGGCTTTCTGTTTGTTTCGGAAATTTTCCATTTCCTATTGGTGTTAGGGGCCGTTTGGCTCTAGAGTCTTGAATATTATGGCTCGGTCGTGTTAAACGTAGTTGGTGAATGCCACCTAATCATACATTTTTAGATTAATTAATTTTTGTTCAAATTTTTTCTTTTGTACGGACTACGGAGTGATAATAATATAAAAAAAATAAAATTATTTGGTATTTAATTGCATTAAAACCATCATTCGGATATTACAAACCTATATACTATAATATTAAAAATGTTTTTTCATTGACTAATTATGAATTAATCAAATAAGTATTGTCATACAAAAGTTCACATAATAATAAAATATTTAAATAAAAATGTCCATACAGCTCAACTGATCAACTAATTCAAAATAAGTTCATAAGTTTTGTTTGCTAGTAACTGCATGATGTAGGATTTGAATCCTACCAATGACCAAAAAGAGATAATTATGAATAAAAGAGATAATTATGAATCTAATTTTGTTTTGGACACTAGTGTACAAGCATTTGAGTGAGACACATCTCGCGATTTACCTTTATCACTAGTTTCTAGAACATGAATAGTAAAAGATCTTTAACTTGAATTTTGAACTTATTAAAGTACTCATGATACTTAACATATTTCAAATTAAGGAAATAATATACTCCATATTTGATTAAAATTTTAATTGAAGTAAGGAGTATATTTTTAACACATTACACTAATATATTTATATCTCATAAAATAAAATAAAATTAATTTAACTGAATCCCAATCCAACTTTATTTGAGACAACTACCAAATGTTTGGTGGTTCTCTCAAAGGTGCATTTCCGTTTACAATAGTATTAATTTTGGGAATGGTGAACTGAGGGAAGGATTGGTTGGGAGATAAGGAGATTTACCCATTGTATCCCATCAACACAATAATGTTTGGTTTTGATTGTTTTTGCCTTGATATTAGATGAAATTGAGTCAATTGTATCACTGTTAACCCGAATTAGATATTCTTTAGCTTATTATGAAATGATGATTGGTTTATCCCAAAATGATAAGTGAGTAGAGCATTCAGAAGGTTATGAGTTTGATTATTGCTAACTCATTTTTGGTCAAATTTGTCACAAAGATCTTTTTAGTGCAGTTTACTTTTCTTGCGTGATTTGTGAGATATTATACAATACTATAATTTATCCAATGATTATCTTTCAATAGTGACAGTTGATTTTTTTCATCATCCAAAAAAATGAAATGATTTGTTTATGAGGGTTCAAAAACTAATTGAATTTAGATATCCGGCCTTAGTTTCTTAAAAAGTTAATGGATTATCTAGAGTGCCATGAGTAACCACAATATATAATTTTAAAATTTTTTTCAAACCTTATAGGTTTTAGTTTTGAAATTTAGCATAATCATAAATTCATAATTGGCAAATTGAATTGTCAAAATAGAAACGTGAGGACCATAATAGAAAAGGACAAATAGTACAGTGATACATACTAAATATGAAAAATCGTAATAATCTCTTTAATCCATTATAAGAGAAATTCCTTTAGTAATACCTAAACTAAATTTTAATTAACTTTTTTAATTCAGTATACTAAATGAAATAATTATAACTATGACATTGTAACACACGATATTGCAAAATTTTGTCTTAAATAATAATCTATGGACCAAGTTGAATTGCAGTTGCTATTTTTGTTTCTCTACTTGATTCAAATTCTTATTTTGATTTATTCTTAAAAATCGAAAGATAAATGTTATGACTTATGAAGCTGATAATCAAATATAACAGTAAAAATGTCTAAAAGCATCAATGGTTGAGAGTTATAATAATAAAAAAAAATAAGTTCAATTTATACAGTAGCGGCTCAAGGTGTATGTTGACAGAGAAGGAACCAGAAATTAGGTTGAGGGGGTGTATGTATGTATGTGTGTATTTAAATATTAAAAAAGTTCTGTAAAATTATGTTGATGTCCAAAGATTCAAATTCTTGACCTTTATTATTGTCAAACATATGCTCAACCAATTAATCTAACTTATCTCTTGTGACATTTAATAATTTTTTTATATTAATACTAAAACTTATACTATATGTACATATATACATACAAAAATTATATATGGAGTGAGAGTGAGAGTGGATGTGGGGTGAATGGGACAACTGTCCCTGCCCCTTTGGTTCCGTCCTTGTATGTTGACACTAAATGACACATGTCCACCACTATTATATGTAAGGCATGCATAAGAGGAATGAGTTTCAAGTTGGTGGTGTTCACACTAAATGACACATGTCCGCCATTAAAGGCATGCATAAGAGGAATGAGTTTCCAAGTTGGGTTGGATATACTCTAAGATGTACACTATATAAATTTAAAATTTAACTTCTTTAATTTACAGAAAAGCTAGCACCCATCCACAATTTTATAACTCTCTTTTAATTACTAAGTTAAATGGAGTTGTCTAACCAATTGCTTCACAAGAAGTCCTACTCCTTTAAATTAAAGAATCATGTACCTCGATCTTTTGAAATTGAAATTACGATCACCCCTAAATCAACTATAACTTATTGTTAATCTGTTATAGGAAGTAAAAAAGATCTATCTACATTTTTTTTAAATCAACTATAACTTATTGTTAATCTGTTATAGGAAGTAAAAAAGATCTATCTACATTTTTTTTAAAAAAGTTCAATGATTTAGTAACAGAGCTTTTTAAAGGTAAATGAGTTATTTAGAATTGTTACTTTATTTATCCCTATTCAAAATTTGTGAAAGTGCATGTGTATAGACTTTTTTCGAAAGACAATTTAATGACACACAACTACCGTGGCCACCTGATTCTGACGGATTCATAACACAGTGTTCAACGACCTCGATCGAATATACATACGGGGCGTATCTATTCGTTGGCTGTTGCAGTGGCGCCTTGTGAAGAAGATGGCGCGTCAATGCCTTTGTAGGCTCCGGTGGCGCGTGGTTTTGTTACCATTGTCGCTGTTTTTGGCAGTGGCTACTATTGTGGTGGTCGGAGTTTTCGGGGTGGGTCCGTCGGTGAACCACCTCTGGCCGAAAACCATCTCCGTCGTCGAATTTTCAGAAACCGGCCGCAAATTCCAGGCGCCGGAGGTTACTGCACACCTCGAGCGCTCGCAGGAGCGCCACCGTGCTGATCATTTTTCTAGCCGGGAAGCTCCGCCGGCGAAACACCTGCAGATTCAATCAGAAGATGCATCGGGGGATTCGGGTCCGTATCACAATTGGGAGCTTTTCGCCGCTGATTACGAAGAAATGATCAAAACCCTAAAGATTTTCGTGTACCCAGACGTGTATTTGAGCAAATCTTCGCCTTTAGCCAGCGTGTTTCTTCCCCACCCGGACCCTTCAAAGCAGGGGAATTACTTCAGCGAGCACATGTTCAAGGCGGCGCTTCTCCGGAGCTCGGTCCAGACGCGGCGGCCTGAAGACGCGCATTTCTTCTTCATGCCCTTTTCCATCAACGCAATGCGCAACCGCCCCGACCTGCACTCCGCCGCCGCCATTTCCGATTTCGTCGCCGGATACGCCGCCAGAATCAGCTCGGAGTTCGAGTTCTGGAATGCTTCCGGCGGCGCCGATCACTTCTACGCCTACTGCCACTCCATTGGCCGAACCGCCGCCTCTAAGCATCGTCTCTTGAATCACAACGCCATCCAAGTCACTTGCTCCTCCAGCTACTTTCAGCGGATGTACATCTCCCACAAGGATGTCGGGTTGTCGCAGGTTTGGCCTCGCCACCAAGAACAAATCTTGAATCCTCCTAATGCTAGGTATAAATGTCCTGTCTTTTTGTATCGAGTACAATCATTCATACTTTTGGCCATAGTACAATCGAGTTAACTTATAATCTTATAATTATTAAGTCAACAGTTTTATTTTAGTTGCATATATACTCTACCCAACATTTGAACATATGCCAACAAGAGTCACAGATTCTTTAAACTATAGTTGGACTACACGTTTATGTTTTGTATTATAAGCACTTCACGATGTTCTTCGTGTTTTTGTAGATACAGGCTAGCATTCTATGCTGGGCGAGCGCAAAACTCACGCACAAGGCAATGGCTGATCGATCTGTGGAAGAACGACTCTGCATTCGACATATTCCCCGGGAGTTCTTCGTTTCCATATGCAGAAGGGTTCCGTAGAAGCAAATATTGCCTGCACGTTAAGGGGTACGAGGTGAACACCGCGAGGGTGAGTGATGCTATACACTATGGGTGCATCCCGGTTCTGATCTCGAATCACTACGATCTCCCTTTCGCCAACGTATTGGACTGGACAAAGTTCTCGGTGATTCTCAACGAAGGAGACATCCCCATGTTGAAGAAGATACTGCTATCGATTCCCGAGCAAACATACCTCAACTTGTACAAGAATGTTGGTATAGTCCGAAAGCATTTTGCATGGCATATGACACCCAAGAATTATGATTCTTTCTATATGACAGTGTACCAGTTGTGGCTCAGAAGGGGGCTCACCCGAGTAGCCTGGTGATGATGATCAACATGTCTAGTTACACCGAGTACTGCCAGGCCGGACACAAACATTAGGTATACTTGTTAGGATCGTTGACACTATAGAAATTTCCTTTTCCTCAATAAATGGTTGAAAAATAGAATGAACTAGGTTCAACAATAGAGTTTCAAGCACCACCATTGTTAAATAAAAGGCAAAATTTCTTTGCCTCTAGGGCTTCCACACTCCCGTCCAACAGAATAGTGGAGAAGTAAATCACAGTAACTCAGTAGCTCGTTAGGTGTAAAGACTAGTTTTTAGTGCTGACAAAGAACCCACCACATTGGGTAACTCTTACACTGCAACAACCAGGACCTAATAATGTGTCATTGCCGACAATCTACCACCTAATAACAAATAAAGGTAAAGAATAAAAGGGTATATTTACCAATTCAAGGATGTGTTCTATGTTCATTTACATGTTGATGTTGTTCAAGACTGCATAACACACATGCTGAAACATCATATAAACATCTTACAATTTGAGATAAAGAGTGCTCAACAGAATTGCAAGTTGATTTATTGACTAGAATCACAAGAGTATCTGCACTAGCATATAGTAAAATGTTCACAGGAGTGGAGTTGAGGCGGAGGGCTCAGCAGGCTGTGCCTGGTAGGTGCGTCGACGCAGTTGAGACTCGGGAGTGGGCTGCTGCAAGAAGATCCTTGTGGGATCGTTTGGATCCACATAGCTGTCAAGTTCAAGAAACAAAAAGCAAAATAGTCAGCTTATATCGTGGCCTGAAGTCATAAAGAACATTGCATATTATTTCAAGGTGAAACACGTACGCATGTCTCATCATATCATCTACGGGAGTTTGAGCGGCTTGCAGAGGATCCATTTGTGGCTCGGCCCTTGAAGCAGTCTGTTGACGGTATTGTCTCACCGAACTTATTAAGTTGAAAAATAAGGGCACAAAAGTCCCACACCCGCCTTCCTTGAAAAGGATCTTAATCGAGTGCGTGGAATACAAAGCCCTGTTTTCATTGTCTGGCACAACCTGAGATTTGCCAGAATGGATGTGAGGTCACCAAATACAAAGGAAACTGTCCACAGACTGCAAACCGTCTTTCATATACTTACAGGGTCCACAGATCCAGCGATATTGTTGCAGTGGAATATTGGTTGGTTAAATTTTTCACCATGAACATATAGCTGCAAAAGGAAGTCATTTTTAGAGTTAACAATACAGAAAACAAAACCAGTGGCAGAACAATGGTGCAAAAGTCTTTTGCTTGGAATCCATGATGAGAAAACATTGCATCCTACCAAAAGACACAAATTACGGGGAAACGGGCAGCACCACAAGACATAGGGTCAACCTTGAAGCAAGATGCACGATAAAGCATATAGAAGAAAAAGAACTTTAAGAGTCAAGCATAAAGTAGAAGCCAAATTTCATTGCTATTCTAAATTTGAGCGATTATTTCATGACTCCAGAGATTTCTCTTCTTAAAGTTTCTGGTCTTGAACTCTTGATCAGTTGACCCTATCTTTTTTGAAAAAAAAAAAACAAATAAACAAACTTAAAGGCCCTTCTGTCCTGTCTATCTATACAAGAATGTTACGTTCGTACAGAGCTATTCTAATTTAAAGGAAGTAAAACCTATATAGGAAACTAGTTTATCTGCTTATGAATTAGATCCTGGCTCACACAATAAGACCATTTTCTTCTGCACCCAACTGGCTACTAATATTTAACAATAAAAGAATTTGACAAACTGATATAAGTCTAAACTAGTGTGGCAAATAAGCCAAGCTACAGAAGTATTGGCAGTATGTGACAAGTGACAAATGACAAATCAATCAACAGGACTGGTCAAGAAATAGAAAAAGAATGTACAAGGAAGCATTTGTGTACGGGTGAGAGACTGATCCTCCTTTTCTACCCATCTATGCCCTCCTATCATCATCTTGAAGACCTAATGACAATGGCATTGCACACTCACCATCATTGGATTGGAATATAGGACAATTTGAGTAAAATCCATTCTGACACTAGCATATACATCTTAATGTCTTATGTCGAGTATGTTTAAACAGGCAAGGCACCTCAAGAGATTCAGGCCATTTGCAAGAAATTAATGAATTGAAGAGCTACAGGATCAGTGAGTTGGAAAAACTATGGGAATTTCCAAAAAATAATGGATTTTGCTCTAATCTTTCCAATGAGCTAATTCTTAATAAATCTCTCTATTCTCTGCAACATCAGTCCTTAACAATATACAGCAAAATGGAGTCAACAACAAAACTGACTAGGAGGCTGCTTAGGCGACTCTCAATTTACCTCCTCCGGAGACCCTTGGGCAGGGGGTTATGGGGGCTTAGGATTAGTCTGGCGTAAATTGAGAAACCTAATGTATCAATATATATATATATATATATATATATATATATATATATATATATATATATATATATATATATATATATATATATATATATATATATATATATATATACATAGCAAATGGACCCATCATATTCTAGGGAGCAACACTTAAAAGCATAACATGAGATGGAAACCACAAAATCCATTGGTGCTTCCAATTCCAATAGACACATCACACACAAATTGAATGATGTATTCTGTTTCAACTAAACTATCAAGGTTAAGCTGACAGTGAAACTACACATTTATATTACTCCATATACTATACGCTGGACAATACATAATTCACAAGGGAGATTTACGTACCAAGGGCATGTCAAAAGCACGGAAGATACCAATAGGCTTGTCTGCAACAAAGACCATCCGGATATTCGACAAGTAGATGGTTCCCTTTGCCTTCATACGTCCGCCATGGCCGCTTGCGCTGGACGATTAAGCAAAACCCAATCATCAAAAGCACGAAAACAATTAATTACAAATAAAGCGACGATTTTTGAGAGATTGAGGGAGCAGGAAGCTGACCCAGGGATCTTATCGACCTCGAATTCGACGCCATCTCTGGCCAAGACGAACAATTCGTTGACGAAGGGAACGGGCATCCCATTGGGGAAAAGCTGGGGATTCATTGCCATAGTGAATCGAATAAAATGCAATGTAATCTAACCTAATTGATTGAAATTTGAAAACGAAGAAGGATCGAAGAAAACAATCGCCTTTGGTAGTTTTGAATTGAATTTATAATTTAATTGATGATTCTTGCGGTCTATGCCTATCGATCTCGGAGAAGCGCGTGGATTCCCCAGCGATTTCCACCACCTTCCCGAATTTTGAATGCGTGACGACCCACGCTGGTCCCGAGTCCTCTTCACGCTTTTTTCCTTTTATACCCCTATTGTATTCTCTAACATTTCCGTACTCGTCTTTGTTCAGCATTTCTTCTGGGGTTAAAATCGCCTTTGACTATGTACTCCTTTTGCACTGCTGAAACTTATCTACAAATAACTTAGTGCAAATACCCAAAATGATCCCTTGACTATAGCTAAATTCATAAATTAGTCCTCAACTTTTAATTTCAACAAATTAAGTCTTTAAATGTGTAATCTTAACACAATATGGTCATCTGTCTATTTGACCGTTTGTTGACTGTGATTTTTTAGGATATATATGTAATTTCATGGTCCATCGTCGGTTTTTTAAGGTTCTGGTTGCATTTCCAGACCGCACTGTTACATTTGAATCCACTGCCAGGGAAAGTAATCTACCAAATCCAGTCGCCTTTCTTCATCCTCCTTTGAATTCAATGTAGTTGAGTTCGTACCAGAGCGAAGAAGACGACGTGTTTCCGAACCAGTGCAACGTCATCCTGGAAGCCTCCACGTGCTCCGACGAGAGCTGAAGGTTCTTCTGGAGATTGTCGATCACGGTCAACAAACGGTCAAATAGATGGAGGACCAAATCGTGTTAAAATTACAAAGTTAAGAACTTAATTGGTTGAAATTAAAAGTCGAGGACCAATTTGTGAATTTAGCTATAGTCGAGGGACCATTTTGTGTATTTACTCAATAACTTTACTAGAAAATTCGTCTAAATATTTGAAAATATAATGCTATAATTCAAGTAAAATTTATCTTGTAATTTTAGTTGGTAGAATATCACAAAGAAATAAATTAATTTATATTATTTATATTTATTTATAATTGTTCATGTTCATACCGAAAAGATCAATAAGTAATTCTCATAAAAAATTGAATTTGTAAGTGCCAAAAAATAAAAATAAAACTTGTTTTAAAAGTATCAAGGTAAGTTTGCAATTATGAGTTATTTAGTTGGATGTAGTTGCAATTAAATTACAACACAATTCTTTAGCCACCCGAATTACAATATTTTGTTGGAGAAAATTGCAATTTTCTCTATTTGTGAAATTGGAATTCTTGAAAACCCCATAGGAATTTTAATTCGAAGCAGTGGGGGAAAAATAAAATGACCTTTTCACCCTTTTTTATTATTATTATTATTATTATTATTATTATTATTATTATTATTATTATTACATAATGACATTTTAATTTTTATATCACTTATTCCTTTCTAATTCCCAATAATTCTATTCATAATTCTATTCATCTTTACCATATAATGTACTTTGAATTCATACTTTATTTCCACCTTATTTTATTCTCACCAAATTACAATTCATTTTCCCATTAATTCATTCCTTCCCACCAAACGCCCTATTAAAGGGTCTTTGCAAAATTTATGCTCATGTCGGCAAAAGTAGTTAACTTCTTCCCATCAATAGAATGACATTTTTATTTGTTACGAAAGTAAATAGAGAGTTTCTGAATTTGTTGTATATTAGAAAAAAGAATATATATATATATATATATATATATATATATATATATATATATATATATATATATATATAATTAGGTTCGGGTGCGGTTGTGCGGTTTAATCTGGGTTATTTATCTCGCTTAAATCAATGTTTAGGATTACCAAAATTTAAAAAAAAAAAAAAAAAAAAAAAAAAAAAACGGTGGCAATTTTGTAATTCTTGCATCTGGGTCAAAATTAAGGTGAGCGGTGCTGTGATTAATGTGCGTGAGTTTTGTATATAAGATGCGTGAGTCTTGTGCGTAAGGTGCGTGAGTTTTGTGTTTAATGTGCGTGGGGTTGTGCTTAATGTGAGTAGTTGTTAAAACTTAAAGTGTGGGCTTTTGTGCTTAAGGTGCGTGAGATTTGTTCTTAATGTGAGTGGAGTTTGTGCTTAATGTGTGTGAGGTTAGTGATTAATGTCAGTAGTTGTTGAAACTTAAGGTTTGTGAGTTAATATTTAAAATGCGTGGGTTTTGTGCTTAATGTGCGTGAGGTTGTGCTTAATGTGCGTGAGTTTTATACTTAATGTGTGTGAGTTTGTGCTTAATGTCAGTAGTTGTTGAAACTTAAGGTCTAGTTAATACTTAAAGTGCGTGGATTTTGTGCGTGATGTTGTGCTTAATGTGCATGAGTTTGTGCTTAAGATCTAACATTTAAGGTGTTTCTTACTTCCAGAGTCCAGACACATGTTTTTTTTTTAAAATAATTTTCATTGATTTGAGCCGTTGATCTAGATTTGATCAACGACTTAGATCTAATAGCACGGGAAGCTATACCCGCACCTGAACCCTTCCATATATATATATATATATATATATATATATATATATATATATATATATATATATATATATATATATATATATATATATATATATATATATATATATATATATATATATATATATATATATATATGGAAACAAATTTTCATATGACTATCTACTCAAATTCCTACACTCCCCTTCAAGTTGGAGCATAGATATTAATCATGTCCAACTTGTTACACACATAACTAACTCAAATCCCATTTAGGACACTCCCCTTAACAGAAAGCTTTGGACGCTACCAAAGTAGACTGAAGAAGCGAGAGCTTGTACCACATCAATACCACGGACAACGGGGTGAGCTCAAAGTGGACCAAACAAGCATGGGATTAGGCACTCTCCGTGAAACAAAAGTTTGGACGCCTCAAATACCGTGAACAAACATCGGGTAAACACAAAGTGTGGCCGAACAAACTTGGGATTAGACCCTCCTCTGAACTGGAAGCTTGAACGCCACCAATACCACAGACAACATCGGGTGACACAAAGTGGAATAAACAAGTTATGACTCACAAAATGAAGAATACAAACTTCGGAAAGGATGACCCAATTTCTTTACAAACGAAATGGAAGCATGCCCCAAACGACAACGAGCGCTCACATTCAAACTCACTTGACAACACCAAAAACAAGCAACAGACTCCAACTTAGCAAACTCATCAGCAGAGATCAAAACTGACTTGACAGATGCATCAAATTTGTTTTCAGCCATACATAGGAAAACAATCACAAAGCACACAAAAATTCAAGCCTGAATATGTACGAGACAAAGCGATCGTGAAGCAAAAAATCAATGACAAAGCAATGATCCAAATACTTTATATTTTTTTTTCCATAAATTTATTTATGATTTTATTTATACAATAATATTAGTAATTAAAAATATAAATATATGGGTCCAATTTTATTTGAAAAATAACTCACATTCCCCAAAAAAAAAAAAAAAAAAAAAAAAACAAAAAAACAAAAAAACTTTGGAAAATAAGAATATCAGCTTTTTGAGAAGGCTGTTGCTTTGGCCATTTCATTTGAAGTCCAACTTCGTCCTGTCCGCTGAGGCATGAAATTTCTCACAATTTTGGAAGAATGAAATGCAGCTCCTAAATTCGAATTAATTCTCTGTCACTTCCAGAGAGATTAGTATTCTGGGTATCTGCCGAAGAGGAAAAAGATGAGGAAGCTGAGATGGGCAATGGACGCTGCAGGGTTTTGGGACTTGGATTTATCGACGCCGGTGACCCTCGACGGTCAGGCACGGCCGGTTCCCGGAGACCCGCTTCCCTTGGGAGCTTCTCGGAGTCCTCGGCTTTCCATGCCCGGACAAGTCGATTTCTTTCAGCGCTTCATGGCCGCTCCCTTTGTCCCTTCATTGGTCGCCGGCCGCGGCTTCTTGCTTCAGCGGGCGCTTTCTCTTAACCTCCGTGAAAATTGGTGAGCAATTCATGTTCATTTCTCTTGCAGTGGATGGGACTTACCCATTCACAGCTCAATTCTAGTCCTAGAATCATTATCTTCATTCATAATTTTATTAAACATTGCTCACTTGCCTCTTGCAATTAAAGTTCAAATTGTTGTCCTCAGTAATTTGGATTAGGCATTACTTGTTTGCACATTTAATGTGGATAATGATATGATCTCGGGTTATGCTCCTCGTTATCGACCTATGAGAGACATAATTTGAAGGAGTTGTTCTGTTCTTCCCAATTGTGAATGACGAGAAGTGGAATGTGAGAAGAGAGAGTTGGTAAAAGGGATTTTATTTCAATTCCAACTCCCCTTTCAATGCAAAGCATGGTGCTACTTAAGGGTTACATAAGAGCTAAAAATAGGAACTAACAATATTATGCTAGGAATAGAATGGATCCTAAAGTGAATATGTGCTATTTAATGCTGGTAATTGATCTTCTGTATCATAAGCTGATGTTATACTTCTTTCTATAGTATAGTTTGCCCACGAATGCATTTTATAATATGTGATAAGTAGCATTTTATTAGGAATAGAATGGATCCTAAAGTGAATAGATTGGATCCTAAATCTTGTGGCATTTTATAATATGTGCTACAATGTTGAAAAAATCGCTAGGCGCCCTCTAGGCGCCTGTGGACCGCCTAGGGCGCCTAACACTGATGTGCTAAGTGAATATTGACTAATCTTGGAACCAACTAATTTTTGCAGGTTTACAACACTGCTTGGTCAGCTAAATGTGCAGAAACTTATCTCTTCTATTAGAAACAAAGAATCTGTACACCCATCAGAATCCTCGTGGCATCAAACTGTTAGGAGACACCTTTCTGACAAATCCCTTTATGCCCTTAATCTTTGTTCAGAGCTTTTGCTAACACCAGAGGATATTTTACTTGTTAGCTTAGAAGCGCATGGTGATGTTAAGACTGCTCGGAAGAAAGCAGTTCTTCACCACAAGGCAAGCTTGTATGCTCTTTATAACTATCGTGTTTTGCTAATTTAGATATTCTCCTTATTTCTAATCCTCTATATCTATCACTTTGTCAGTTTTCACTATTTTTGTTCTGTGATTATCCATTGTATTGTCTTTCATTCTTGGTCCTCTTGATCATAAATAATGCATGGCCCCTGAAATCATAAAAATAGTTTATTTGTTTTTGCGCCTAACTTTACTCTGGAAAAACATTCGGTTTCTTTTTTCAAATACTTCATCGAATATTCTACCTGAGGATAGATATTTTATCGTTGCAGTTTCCACAGCATGATCTTACTGTTGAGGCGGCTTTGCCTGGACTGTACATTGATCAGCTTGGAAATTATTGGGACGTACCGTTTGCTCTTGCCTTTGATCTTGCGTCAGTTGCTTCTGAGTCTGGTATAAGTTATCATCTATTAGTCAACCACAATACGGGTTCGCCTAAACAGTGTCAAGGCCAGCAGCCTGCCAAAGAAATACCCCCTTCTTTACTTCCGGGTTTATGTGCCAAAGGTGCGGTTTCCTTGACGAAAAGTGTTGACCTCTGGAGAAGTGAAGCGCCTCTGTTGAAAATGGTGCAACCGTATGATATATTGTTGTCCAGCCCTCACATTTCTGCCTCGGGCACACTTGGTGAGATTTTCGAAGGAAATTGATTGTGTTGCCACTGCTATCATGTCTGGATTTCGTGACAGTTTTTAATTTATTGGCTTTTTTTTTTTTTTTTTTTTTTTTTGGTTTATGTTTAATATTTTTGTGTTCCTCTCTACCATTTTAGGCTCTGTTGTATCTGCATATCTAGGAGAGAATTCAATTAGATCACAAAGTGAGGATGGGTTACCAGCTTTCAAAAACTTTTCACTTCGAGCCCAAGGAGCAAATGCTGCTCTTTCAGCGGATCTATTTGCATCCTTCTCCCTGACTGCACAGCATGGAAATTTCCAAAAGCCCTATCTGGATTTAACTCGGTTACATGCACGCCTTCTTATCCCATCTGGGTCAAATTTTATTTCTGGTGCGGTTTCTGTGGCACGTGATCTTTACAAGTCTCAAATACCAATTACTGAAGCAATCCAAGCAGTTTGTCCCAATGTCATGCTTTCATTTCAGCAGCAGGTAAGTCTGGTTTTGAGTGATTACTCGTTACCACTTCATTAAATTTAATATCCATATATCCACGAGTGCTTGGCTGTTCTAGCTTTGTAGGGTTCTGAATTTACCCTTGCTTATAGTGACCTTGATTTGACATGACCTGCAGATTGCCGGGCCTTTCAGCTTAAGAGTTGATTCAGAAATAGCAATCGATTTCAAGGACTTTCGTCCTAGAGTAAAGAATCCTGTATTCGCACTCGAACACTCCTTGCCAGTTCTTGGCTCTGCCAAGGCTGTCGCTTGGTATTCACCAAATCAACAAGAGTTCATGGTAGAGCTTCGGTTTTTTGAGAGTTGAGATTGCTTGGTCAAGAAAGAGCAACAAATGGAGCATCTAGTTTACTTAATTTCTTCATGTCAGTGCAGCTACCTGCCTATTCTTTTAGTGCATCTTCAAGAATTGTAATTTTCAGAATGACACTCTTTTCCCATTCACTTTATTATGGAGTGTTTTTTCTCACATCTGTATTGAATTTACATTCTCTTTATGTAAATGGGTCATTCAACATTTCAACATGATAGTAATACTACAATAGTACTATTAACCTTTTTGGGTTACTAGGAAAACTCCCAACCACTATCTGATATCTGAATGTGTACTAGGTAAATTCTGCCTTGTGACTTTAGCCAGCAAAGGATTACAAAGTAAATCCCGCCTTGTGACTTTGGTTGGTAAAGAATCACAATGAGGTAAACCAGTCTAAGTTGTCTATAACTGATCGGTTCGAACTAAGAAAGCCAATAACAGTACTATTAAGTGATTGATGTTTATCCCAAACAGGACTACCCAGAACCTATTTACATATTTCAGCATAATGCAGAGATGATCAATCTCTATTTTCAATACATTAAGCATCTACTCTTAGACATGTAAAACATGTAGATTTCACCATTTCAAAAACATGGAAGCTTGCATGTTTTTATGCTATGATGCATCCCAAAACTAGTTACTGGGCTACCTACTGGAAGGTGTAGATGTTCTTCTTTATAACTGATAGCCTTAAGACAGAGACCATGGGGTGGAACCGACAATGCATACTTTGCAAGTTGCTTTCTATCGCGAGATTCCAAAATCTTGGGAACGATATCGGGTGGAACTGCTTCCCTTCCCACTTGAAGCAACACCGCCACCTGCCAAATCATAGTATCTCATATTCAGAAGCTACTAAAAATCATGGGAAGAATCGAAGCATACCAAGAGAGCAACTTAGCATAGTTATCAACAGCACAAGAATCTGTAATTAGTTTGATGGGCTTATGGTGGGAATGAGTAGTGTACCATGTTTCGAACTTGTCGATAAAGAAAACCAGACCCTTCAACTTCAAGCTGCAATAATGGCCCCTGCATAGCAGCATCACATTAACAACTTTTAATTTTTAAAACCTTCAAATCAGACACAGGGTAATTGGGGCCGGGATATTTGGGATCACGTCACAGGCCTAGAAACTTAAGAATGAAAACGCAGAAGCTTTTCGAGTGCTGCTTCTCCCAATCTTTCATTTAATAGAAAACTAAATTATAAATTTCCAACGTACTGTTTCAATCACATCAAAGCGGGAGATGGTCTTCACTGGATCTCGCACCCGTTCATTCCGTGCTGCATTGGCGAAGGCTGAGAAGTCATGCTTACCTATGAAATGCTTTGCAGCATCTCTCATGGCGTCGGCATTAAGTTTATAAATACTGTGGTAAGCATAGAGCCTCTGGAAGGGGTCCATAATGGCGTCATTATAGATCTTGTACTCATAAATCTTACTAACGACAGAAAAACGAGCATGGAATTCAGGGGCTGCAGGGCCAATTTCCCGGACTCTAACATCTTTAGGAAGCAGACCATTTAGTGCCTTGTGGATGCCATCCAGGGTGTCATAGTTAAAAGGCGTAAGAAAGTGCGCTACCTGAAACCAAACAAGATCCCATCTCTATTTATTTTTATTAATTCATCTAAACATCTCTTTTGATTCACGTGAGTTTAAGAGGAAAGCAAACCTGACCCAAGGCATGAACTCCTGCATCCGTTCTCCCTGCCCCAACTAGGTTAAGATCTTTGCGGTCTAGCTTTGTAATTTGAGTTAAAGCCTGTTCCAAAGCGCACTGCACTGTCGGTATTGATGGTTGATATTGCCAACCTATTGAATGTTCAAGGCTGAGGGTGGTTAATAATTAACAAAAGCAACCCCCAAAATGGTGAATTTGAAGAGCATCCCAATTCCCAACTTAATTCAAGGGATCATCAATAAGCAACTATACAAATCACTCTCGGCAAATGAATCATATATCATACTAATGAAGCACAAGAGATTAGAACTACAGACAAGAAGATTTCATAACAGTTAACATCACATTAGTATATAGTAACAGCAGATTAAAGGGCATTTACTTAGCATTAGAAATCCAAAATAATCAAAGAGAAGAATGAAGAGCGGGCATATTAGACCTGAAAATCGGGTTCCATCATAGGAAATGAGTAAGCGCCACTTGTGAGAAGGAAGAGCAAGAGTTGGGAAATGAAGGTCGGTTGGGTGATGATGTTGACTCTCTCCGCAGCCCAAATTCTGCTGATTCCTCCATTAATGTCAGTATATATCACAGTAAAGAATGCAAATGAATAAAAACTTGGATGTATATAACCGGAATGGAATGGAATGGGAGGAATACAGTGGATACCGGAATTGAAGGAGAAGAAGCAGCTTCAACGAGATTTGGAAGTGAAGCGAGCCCGACAGCTGCCGAGAAACTCATGCGTCGCAACTCGCAACTGAGCAGTTGTCTCGTCGTCGTGGTGCTTCCCGGCGTTTCTTACCTCACCGGCGACGTTTGCTGTCATCTAATCTGTTCTCGTGTCGTGTATTTTACTTTGGGCCTCTCTTTTTGCTACTTAAATTGGGCCAGTCACCATATGTTTTTCTTATTAATTTTTTTTTTAATACATTTTAGGCTATGTTTGGCAATCTTATCAGAAAAGCTATAAGCTCAGAGCTCAAAGCTGAAAAGTTATAAGCTCGGAGCTAAAAACTGAAGAGCTGTTAAGCTAGCTGTTATGATTGAAAGTGTTTGGTAAAATTAACTTTTTGATAAGCTGATAAATGTAGAAAGACTAAAAATGACATCTTCATAAAATTTAAATTAATTTATTTACATATTAAAATTTAACATTTTGTCCTTAAAAAAATTAACATTTTGAAATAAAACTATACGCATAATCATGATCTAGCATCTCATAATAAAGTAGCAATATTGTTGCAAATATAATAATAATAATAATAATAATAATAATAATAATAATAATAATAATAATAATAATAATAATAACATTTGCGGTAAAAATTGCGGTTAAATGAGAGGAGGAAAGGGTTTTATTTGGAAGAGTAAATTATGTCATTTCTTTAAAATAATAAGGATAAAGATGGAAAAAAAAGTTAGGAAGCTATGAGCTTATTTTGAAACGCTACTTTACCTAAAGGCTCTGTTTGGCACAACTTATTTATGAGCTTATAGTTTATTTTAAGCTACTAATAAGCTATAGCCTAAAATATATATAGTGTGAGGTTCAAGTGCATTTAAGTGTTTCCCGTGCAGTTGTGCTGTTGATTAATGTGCGTGAGTATTGTGCTTAACATGCATGAGGTTTGTGCTTAATGTGCGTGAGTGTGTACTGAGTTTTGTGCTTATTGTGCGTGAGTCTCGTGCTTAAGGTGCGTGAGTTTTGTGGTTAATGTGCGTGAGTGTGTACTTAATGTGAGTTGTTGTTGACACTTTAAAGTGCATGAGTTTTGTGCTTAACATGTGTGAGTTTTGTGCTTAACATGCATGAGTTTTGTACTTAACATGCGTGAGTTTTGTGCTTAATGTGTGTGAGGTTGTGCTTAATGTGAATAGTTGTTGAAACTTATAAGTTGCGTGTGTTTTGTGATTAACATGCATGAGTTTTGTACTTAAGATGCGTGAGGTTTATGCTTAACATGCGTGAGTTTTGTACTTAACGTGTGTGGGGTTGTGTTTTTAAAAGTGTTTTGTTTGTGTGCTTAATGTGCGTGTGTCGTGTACTTAAAGTACGTCAGTTTAATGCTTAATGTGATTCCAAACGCACAACCGCACAAGAAGTCTCAAATGCACCTGATCCCTTATATATATATATATATATATATATATATATATATATATATATATATATATATATATATATATATATATAATTAGTAGTGTAGATATTTATAAAATCTTATAAAACTCATATGATTTGTATAGAATTTTAGGGAGGATTTTAATCATAGACATACTAGTAGATGTCCATCCTCCAATGAGGAGATGGAATAAGTATAAATAACATCATGGGACTCATTTTGTAATAATCCAAGCGGTCCAATTGCTTGAATGAAGATAAATGAGGATGCTTGGCCAGTGAGAGTAGTCACGGAATAAAGATGAACAAAAAAAAAAAAAAAAAGAGAAGAGAAAATGCCAAAACAGTTTTAATTAGAAGGGGTAAATGATATTGTAAAGTTTGAAAGTTACTAGATTATATGTAGCATTTCAAAGTAAACTATTATTTTAAGCTATTAGCTTATTTTTGAAACATTATCAAATAAAATTAATAATTGATTAGTAATTTAAAATAAGCTATAAACTCCTAAATAAGGTATGTTATCTTAAAACTCACTACTATTGTCAATACCTTTTAAAGTAAAATTATTAAATAGGCCATATCACCTTAAAAAATTAAAAAAAGAAATATAAAATATATAGCAAGCAAAAAAAATAAACAAAATAAAAATGATTGGAAAATAAGATTTGACCCAAAAAACTTCCAATGGGGCCATCCAACAATTTGATGAAAGTTAGGGCCCAAAAGAGCACAATTTGATGAAAATTAGGGCCCAAAAGAGCTAATAAATGTTAGGGTAAATCACATAGAAACCCCAAACAACTGCAGAATCAAATCCCCACCCAAGCGTGCAGCAACACACAGGGACAGGGTCACTTCAACTTGTGTATCGGAGCCCTCAACTCCGGCCGGTCGTATGTGCCGTCGTTTTCTTTCAACGCTGTCCATTGTCCCTCCGCCCTAGCCAAATAATTCCAGGAGCGGCGAAGCTCAAATTGTAGTGAAGTCGTTCGAAAATCGAAAACCCCCCTCTATCTACAGGTAATTTGCTTTTCTCCTCCAACCTAAATTTTGGATATTGCGATTTTTCCCATGAATTTTCTCGAATTATATTACTCGACTAAAAACGGATGTGACGAAATTGCTTCTGCCTCTCCACGGATTTCTTCTCTTCGTCATGTTGGTCTCCGGATTCAGGTTTTGCGATGCTCCAACATCAATTAGGGTTTCTCCCGGAAGCCCTGCATGTTTATGGCATCGATTGTGTGTTCAAAGCTTTAAACTTTTTCTGTTTTTTGTTTTGTTTTTTTATCCCCTTATGGAATTGCTTGCTAGAGTATTGCTTTGTCGTACGAATGCGTGAAATTTGGTGTCTGAAGTAGATTTGTTTCAGTTTCAATTCGCTGAGGATTTTATGCTGCTGCCGCCTTGGCGATGGCCTCCAAGAAAATCATTGCCGTGTGCCAATCGGGAGGGGAGTTTGTGACCAACAAAGACGACGGGTCTTTGACGTACACCGGCGGCGAGGCCTACGCTCTAGACCTGGATGATCAGACGACTTTGGATGATTTTAAGCAGGAGCTTGCTGACACCTTCCAGTGCGTCACCGATGGTATGACAATAAAGTATTTTCTCCCCGGGAACAAGAAGACACTCATCACTGTGTCTAAAGATAAGGACCTCAAGCGCATGATCAACTTCTTCCAAGACTCCGATCAAGTCGATGTCTTTGTAATGGCAGAAGAAGCTGCTGTTCGTAACGTGTCCATCATGCCTGCCAGCAGGTAATTGGTGTCTATAAGTACTGGGTAAACCCAGCATTTTGACCCGAAGATAAACCAGACTAGATTGTCCATAGCTGACCGGCTGAAACCAAGAAGGCCAATAGGCCGCCTCGTACGGGGAGTTGAACTTTAACATTGTGGTTACAAAGCCAACAGTCTTGACCAATTTGATTGTTTTTTGGGCACCTGACTTTTCATCTGCATTGTGATGGTTAATAGTGGTGTGTAGATATTAATATTGTATAGAGTGGTTTGATTGTGCAGGTCGAGCAGGACGACAGTGTCAGAGGCCACCCTGACTCCTCCCCCGCCTATGGATTTGATCAATCCTAATGATCAGATTGTTGTCGACACTCCCATTGATATCAGTCCCATTGGGGTCTTCCCTACCATGAATGACGAGAGGCATCGTCGGGCTGCTATGCAGTGGGAGAACACCATCACCGGTGTGGACCAAAGATTCAGTAGTTTTGCTGAATTCCGAGAGGCTTTGCACAAGTACTCAATTGCCCATGGATTCACTTACAAATATAAGAAAAACGATAGCCATCGTGTCACTGTGAAATGCAAGGCAGACGGTTGCCCTTGGCGTATATATGCATCGAAGTTGGCTACGACCCAGCTAGTATGTATTAAGAAAATGAATGCATCTCATACATGTGAAGGAGCTGCTGTAAAAGCTGGGTACCGAGCAACAAGGGGATGGGTTGGAAAAATCATAAAGGACAAGTTAAAAGTTTCTCCCAATTACAAGCCGAAAGATATTGCCACTGATATTAAGCGCGAGTATGGCATTACACTGAACTATTCTCAAGCATGGCGGGCGAAAGAGATTGCAAGAGAGCAGCTTCAGGGTTCTTATAAGGAAGCATACACTCAGATACCTCTATTATGCGAGAAAATAATAGAAACAAATCCCGGTAGTCTAGCAACGTTTGCCACAAAGGAGGACTCCAGCTTTCATCGTTTGTTTATTGCATTTCATGCTTCGATATCTGGTTTTCAGCAGGGTTGCCGTCCTCTTCTTTTCCTTGATAGCACTCTTCTTTATGCGAAATATCAAGGAACGCTATTGGCTGCAATAGGTGCAGATGGTAATGATGGTTTCTTTCCAGTAGCCTTTGCGGTTGTAGATGAGGAGACTGATGACAACTGGCATTGGTTTCTGTCGGAACTAAAACCCGCTGTCTTAACAACTCAACCTATAACATTTGTTTCTGATTTCCAAAAGGGTATTAGAGAGTCATTACAGGATATATTTGGTAAGGATTGTTACCATGGTTATTGTCTTCGATATCTGGCCGAGAAACTAAATAAGGATCTGAAAGGGCAGTTTTCACACGAAGCAAGACGACTTATGGTCCAAGATTTGTATGCTGCTGCTTACGCTCCAAAACTCGAGCTGTTTGAGCGCTGTGCTGAAAGCATAAAAGCCATCTCGCCCGAAGCTTACAATTGGGTCATAAGAAGTGAGCCAGACCACTGGGCAAATGCGTTTTTTGGCGGGGCGAGGTATGACCAGTTGACTTGCAATTTCGGCCAACCTTTCTATGATTGGGTGGCGGAGGTGAATGAGTTGCCCATAACGCAAATGGTGGATGTTCTACGAGGGAAGATGATGGAATTGATGTATACAAGACGCGCTGAATCCAGTCAGTGGGTTACAAAGTTGACTCCTTGTATGGAACAAAAGCTTCAGAACGAGATTGCAACGGCACGATCGCTCCAGGTACTACTGTCACATGGGAGCACATTTGAAGTTCGGAGTGAAACTGTCGATTCGGTAGACATTGACCATTGGGATTGTAGTTGCAAAGGGTGGCAGCTTAATGGGATGCCTTGCTGTCATGCTATCGCTGTTTTTGAATGCCTCGGAAGCAGTCCCTTCGATTATTGCTCCCGATACTTCACAACCGAGTGTTACCGCTTGACATATGCAGAATCCATTAATCCTGTCCCGAATGTGGAGAAACCAGTAAACGGTGACCAGCAGATAATAGCTGTTGTAACTCCTCCACCGAATAAACGCCCACCCGGTCGACCAAAGATGAAACAAGCTGATCCTATGGACATAATCAAACGACAGCTCCAGTGTAGCAAGTGCAAGGGCCTCGGCCACAATAAGAAGACTTGCGAGTAAGTTTCCTGTCCTTGACACCTTTCATTCGCATCTCCTTTTTAAGGATCATGTCTGTGACTGATTTTATTTATCTGGAAATTAGTAGATTTTCTTGCAGATCACTGCATGTTAATATGTTATCTCTTGAATAGTAGGAAGTTTATCCTCTGAGAGCTTCTGCATTTTGAGATGCCTGTCTTCTTGAATGGATATAAAGTATAAACCACACTGGGCATGTTAAAACCCGAACAATGAAACATAATGTGTTGAACATAATACATATATATAAATGTAAATGTGCAGTCAAACTGTTGTCTTAGATTGAGATGAAACATATCATTCTTTAGCATAAACTAAGAAGCCATTGTTTTTTGGTTTGAACACAGGAAGGTGAACAGGATTGAAGTGGCTGAACAAGAACAAGAACAAGAAGAACAACCAGAATCCTTACTTTTAACGGGGATTACAACAGAAGAACCCGAACTCGAACCCTTACCCGAACCTGACCCCCAAGGAGGTGCATGATTCACTGTCTTGTCGTCCGTCCGTCCTATGTACTTGTAAAGCTCTTTCTTTCATCGCCAGATACATCTCCAATGAAATGGGAATTCATAGAAAACTTTAGGTTAAATTAAAGCTTTTTTTTTTTTTTTCCTTTTATTTTGGGGTTGTAATCACAGAACTTTTGTAGTCCTTTATGGTTAGGTAGATATAAAATTCTTAGTTTCATAGAAATACTGCACTCTACCTTTTGGCCATGTTTGGTAACATAATTAGTTTATCAGTCAATTTTGACTTGTTTGATCACTATTAGTTGTTTAACTTGGTTAAACAATCTATACAAATGCTTGATTAATTAGTTTTTTGTAAAATCTGTTTAACGCTGTTTTTTCGATCAACTTTTTAAGAAAGTTATTTTGCATGTAATTAATTATAGCTAATTTACCCTATCTTTCTAAAATCAATTAATACTAAGAACTAATCATTCACCCCCTTTGCCATTCACCCTCCCCCATCTTTACCATTATTTTCTCCTATCTTTTATTATTCCTATTAACTCAATTAACATTATCCATTATAGTTTCCAATAACCTTGGTTAAAATTTCGCTGAATTAGTTTAATTTTGTAATTCTATAGGATGTATATATTTGAGTACCATGAAAAATTGTTACTGCTTGTAGTCCTAGCTCATTGGTGAAAAAAAAATGTGTTTGAATTACTATGTGGCCTTAGTTGATTGGTGAATTTTTTTTCTAACATTTTGAAATAATTTCTCAATTCTCAAAAAAAATTTTAAAGAAAAATTTCTAATTTTTCATTTTGGTGAACAACTCCTTTGTGTTCAAGTTCCAGCAGTCCTGTTTGGATAGAAAACTTTAATTGACTTGTCAAAAATTTGTGTTTTTGTATTTAATTTACCATATAGTCCTAATAACTAATCGAGAAAATTTAAGTTAACATGTTGGGTTTGAGCATAATTTGGAGGGTATTTGGATGTTGGGATTGAACTTTTTGGGAGAAAAAATCTAAGTCAAATAAAAAAACATGACCAATGAACCACTGCCATGTGTCCTAAGTGGACCTCAACCGCCGCCATTTTTACTAGGAAGTCGGTGAGAGTGGTGATTAGATCCTTCTTGAGGATGCTTATAGCTTCTCTCAAAGTTCAAACCATGTACACGTGGCACTCGGGTGATGAAAGTTCGACACTTGTCATCCAACCGGTACCCCTCTCAGCCACGTAGCATTCCACCATTCCTATATTATCCCTAAACTAAACTTTCATCTCAAACAATAAACTTCAAAATCTCATTTTCCTCTTCAACGTTCAATCACGAAAGCAGATATTAAAATGGCGCGACCAAGCATTCTTAGGCCGTTGGCGGTGGCGATGCTCATTATGTTGGCGGCGGCGGCGACGCCTGCCATCGGAGGCAAATACAGCGCCGACGACGAAGACGACGAGCTGTTGGAAGCGGCAATTGAATCGGAACTAAAGACGGCGGTGGATGATGCTCGGCACAAGGAGGCGAAGGATGAGAGTTCGGAGTCGTGGACAGAATGGGCTAAGGATAAGCTCTCCGGGGGCCTTGGTCTCAAGTCTACCCACCACGACGGCGACACCTACGACGCCGCCAAGAACACCAAGGACAAGATCACCGACTCTGCTTCCGGTAAGTAATCTCCCACACTGTTGCAAAAATCGGTCTAGGTGTCCTAGGGTCTAGGCGTTCGATTTTTTGTCTATTTTCTGCCTAGGTGACAGGCTGTCTAGCGACAGCCAAGTTAACTCGTTCATTTCGATCAGCTCACTCTGAATAATTATATATATATATATATATATATATATATATATATATATATATATATATATACCCGACTAGTTTGATACTTTTAATTTTTAATGATTTTTAATGATTGAAGTCAAAGTGCAAGTCTAGCACTGTCTTTTTGACACTGCCTAGCGGCATCTAGATTCCGCCTAGGCGCTGTCTGAGGCCGGACTAACATGCAGCGGCTACTGCAAGCATGATCTCCCACTCATTTCGAGTTAATTTTGTATTTTGAATTGTGATTCAACGTTTTTGCAATGCAGGAGCAGGGCAGTATGTAGCGGGTAAAGCGGAGGAGATTAAGAGAGCAGCCTCCGACAAGGCCGGAGAGGCCAAGGACAGTGCGTATCAGGCGGCGGGGGACGCCAAGAAAAAGGCTGCCGAGGCGGCGGAGAAAGCTTACAACAAGATGGGGGAGGCCAAGGACAAGGCGGCGGAGACGGCCAAGCAAGCTTACGACAAAACCGGCGAGACCAAACAGAAGGCGGCGGAGAAAACCGGGGACACAAAGAACAGGGCATACCAAACCGCCCAGGACGCAAAAAATAAGGCGGCGGAGACGGCCAAGCAAGCTTACGAAAAAACCGGCGAGACCAAGGACAACGTGAAACAGAAAGCGGCGGAAACAGCGGAGAAAGCATACGAGAAAACGGTGGAGGCCAAGGATAAAGCATACGAGAAGGCGGAGGAATCTTCGGATAGGAGACGGGAGGCCGAAGAAAAAACCCGACAAGCCGCGAAGGACGTGGGAGAGAAGGCGGCGGAGAAAGCAAAGGAAGCAAAAGACGCGGCGGCCGGAACAGCGAAGAAAGCTGGAGAGCAAGGGAGCGAGAAGATGGGATGGGCGAAGGAGAAAGCGAAAGAAGGGTACGAGGCGGCGAAGAACAAAGCAGGGGAAGCCTTGGAATCTGCTAAGGACACAATCGCATCAAACCTGGGAAGCGCCAAGGAGAAGTCGCGGGAGATGAAGGACAGCGTTGTTTGCAGTGACAAAGCATGCAAGACCAAATCCAAAAACCGCGACGAGGAGCTCTAGCTTTAATGTAATGCCACTTTTTCTTGGCTTTTTGGATGTTGTTATAAAGATGAAGTATCATGTATAAGACTATAATGTATTTGCTCATCATGAAAATGGGGTTTTGTTTGTAGGCATAAATATTTTGGGACTCCAATATCGCTATAGGCCCAAGCTAATAATATGAACGAGTTTGCAATCAAGAATGGGTTTGAAAGATTAAGGAAAAAGAAGGCCTGTTCAACTATATATTAGGGCTAATGGGTTATTGCGTACTAGATAAGTTTGCTCCACATAAGTTCAAGTCCAAACTGAGATTTATGGATCAATTTCAAGCTCAAAATCGTATATTATTTTGTATCGGGGATTCTGATTTAAAATGATATTTTAGATGATTTACCTGCAATAAATAACAGATTATGTACATATTTTTGTTTTATAAATTATGTAAATACATAATGAGTGTACATAATAGGTTAATATGGACAGAATTTCTTCCAGTTAAATATTCAATTTGGATCATAGTCAAAACAATACAGTTCCCCATCTTTTAGGGTGTGTTCGCAGATGATAATTAGAATTAGAATTGAATTGAATATGTATCAAATACTTGGTAATGGTAATTTAGTAAAAATATTTTACATATTTGGTAGTAGGGTATAATGAAAATGATTATCAATAATGATGTTTGGTGCCTGCATGGATAGCTCAACTGGTTATAGAGGTGAAACTTTGAAAGAATGATCAGGGATCGAGTCTCACCAGCAGCAGTGCGGGGGCTCCTTGTGCGCAGTAAGCACCGGTTTAACCTTTGTGGTTCATGTTCTGTCGAGCTGTGGTGTAGGCGGTTCATGTTGAGTTGAGTCACCATCCTCCCAAATGAGCTGGGGTGTAGGCAGGCGGTTTATGTTCAGTTGAGCACCGGTTTAACCTTTGTGGTTCATGCTCTGTCGGGCTGGGGTGTAGGCGGTTCATGTTCAGTTGAGTCACCATCCTCCCTAATGCGCTGGGGTGTAGGCAGGCGGTTCATGCTCTGTTGGGCCGTTCTTCCTTTTGAAAGAATAATGATGTTTGGTTATGAATGATTTTATAATGGGAATAAAGATTTTAAAAATATAAGACACAAAATTAATGAAGATTTTAAAAATATAGACATAAAATTAAGACAATTGATTCTAATATAAAGACATCCAAAACACTAATATGAAAAAAAAAAAAAAATCTAAAAGTACTATCCAAAGGAATGAGCACTACTGGAAATTATGAAATTTTCGACCACCTGAAAGTGATCTTAAATCAAGACGAAAGTTTTGTTCCGACCACTTTTGGTATCAGGAAAAACCTTTGTTGCTATTTCCGACCACTTTTTGAACTTTTTGGTATCAACTTAATTTAAGATCATTTTCAGGTGGTCGAAAATTCCATAATTTCCAGTAGTGGAGAATGGATAAGGCAACGAAAATGGATGATACCATTATTTTATTTTGTTTGAGTATGCCCCATTATTTCTCCCACTCGTTTTCCTTTCGTTGTCCACTTGTCCCTTCCTCAATCGCAAGGTGAACACGGTTTTATGTTCATAATTTCTGAACTATAAATTCACAATTACAAAAGCTTATAGTTTAGACAATTAAAAAACTCTACGTTTATAATTACTTAACCATATGTTCATAATTATTAAACTATATATACATAATTTTTGAACTTCATATTCACAATTATTGAATCTCTATATTCATAATTAAAGAACTATATGTTCATAATTATATTCACAACTCTATATTCATAATTATAGAATTATATATTCATAATTTTTGAATTATATATTCATAATTATAAACAATTTTAGAATTGTGTCCAACTTGTAAGGTGGACACAATTCCACAGCATAATTTGCCTTCCTTCCTAGTTCCCTCCCACAAATGTATATTTATAAACAACCCAAGCTTGCTGGTTCGTAGGCCACGTCATTACATATAGCCATATAGGTTTTGACTTATTTAATTAAATTTAATTAAATAGGTTTCTAAATAAGACTAGGTTCGACCTTTTTTACTAAACAGGCCAGTTTATAAATCTCAATAAAGGGGTCTGATCTATTTTCACTCTTAATAGTAAGTGTGAGTGTTGACCAAATGATAAAAATAAAGTCGTAATAATTTAAACAAAATGATGCTATTTTAGATTATGATTCAGAATGTAAAATGAACATCCATGATATAATTTGCGATTAGTACATTTGTGGGGCTAATTTGAGACTTTATTTTCACTTTTTTTGTCCAAGTTGAAGACTTTGAATTGACGTGCAATTTTTTGATTTTTGAACCATTAATCGTGTCTCCAGCCCAATGGAACAAGCTAAATCATCGGCATAAGTAATGCAAGGTGACCAAGCTAATTAAGGATGGCGTTGCTTTGTAGTTTGTAGCCACACAAAACAAATATCGTCTGAGTTGTCAAAATCTGAACCGGGCCGCGGGGACTTGGGGAGACCCGGAAAGATGCAGCGAGAGGGAACTGGGAAGGGACAAGTGGACAACGAGTGGGAGAGATAATGGGGCAAACCCAAACGGAAGCCACTAAAATTTAATAATTCAAACGGCGTTAGGTAGCAAGCAACATTAATTTTGATCTTCCCATATTTCTTTCCATCTCACATGTTCTGTTCTCATAACATCACTACCGTCCACGCTTAAACGTCACCTCCGCCGGCCTAGTAATGTCAATTGTACCCGCACCTGATGGGAAACCTGATTCCCCGCTCTTACAGAGACGGAGATGTGGACAAAAATAAGGGATCGGGGATGAGGTTAGGAACAATTTTAAATTCTCCATCAGGATAGAGATGAGGATGAGGAGTACTCTCCCCGCCCCGCCCCGTCCCCTATATATATATATATATATATATATATATAGCCACACAACACACACATATGTTTTACTTCGTATACAATATATAATTTTAGAAGCATTCTTGTCATTGTGTGTCATGCTTAAGAAATGCATATTTAAATAACATGTTTAATTGTAAAATATTAAATACTACTTTTAAGTTAGGGATGAATATATATGCGTTATTTATTTAAATATTTTTTTAATGTTTAATTTTTATTTTTTATAACTTATTAACGGGGTGGGGATTCCCCATCCTCGAATAATCCCCGTAGGGATGGGGATGGGGGGAGTTTTCCCTTCCCCGACGGGGATGGGGACGGGGACGGGGAATGAGAAAAAGTCGGGGGCGGGGATGGGGGTATGTCCCCCGCCTCCACCCCACCTCGTTGACATCCCTGCGCCGGCCCGTCCATCTATCGTCTACTGCTTGTTTCTTTGGTTGAGACCGCCAACCGCCGACCCCCACCCGACTACGACCACCACCGCATGTATACTCTAACCCTGCAGTGTATATAAAATCAAACTGAATAATAGTTTCATATATTTGAGTGTATATTATCTATTGAAATTGTAGTTATATAGAAATGATGTTGTAATTGTGTTGTAATGAAACTATAGCGTATATAAAATGAAACTGAATAACAGTTTCACATATTTGAGTGTATGATATCAAATGAAACTGTAGTTATATCGAAATGAAACTGGAATTGTATTTAAATGAAACTGTAGTGTATATAAAATGAAACTGGATATGTTATACAAACATATCTACTTTATGCGAAATGGCGCGAACGAGTGCCGTTTATTTTCATTAAAAGAAGCGACGCCGTTTTGGACCATAATCCATAATGCTTTGTGGACCGCAGTCCTACCCCAACACCCCTTCGTGAAAATGAGTCATTTTCATTAAAAAAAAATAAAATTATTTTCAATGTTTGGTTGCATTCTGAAAAACTGTCTTGGTGTGTTTGGTTTATTTTATAAAGAATGAGTAAAATTGTATAATTAAACATTTTAATTATTTTATTTAGAATATAAAAATATTTATAATAATATAAAAAATTAAAAATAATGTTATTTATTAAAAAATTAATTTTTTAAAAAACTCTGGTAAACCAGACCTATAGTTTCCGCTAGAAACCAAGGTCGAGAACGATTGTAGTCATTTTTGATATGTGAAAAATGACTTCCGCCAAATTTTGGAGGAAGTCATTTTTCTCTAAATAGCCATATTTTTTCAAGTCAACGAAAAAATGATTTCTGTTGACTTGATTTTTCAGGCATATTCAAACATTGAAAACTCATAAAATGATTTCCAAAAATCATTTTTCAAATTTTTAAACACATCCTAATGTAATATAATCCGACATTACTTTCCCCAATTTGCAAATTATATTTCCAACTTTGTCCACCTTACATTTTGAATTTTAGTGCAAACAATGTTATTTTGTTTAAATTATAATATGTAATTCATTAAGTATAAGTACATAAATTTGAATTTGTAACTACATAATTTGTTGACTAAATGATAAAGATAAATAAACTTTAAAGTTAGATACCTTATTAAGTTAAATACTAATGTATTGAGTTTATGAACTTGTACTATGTCGTTTATGCAGCTTCTAAACTTGTTGTATTGACTTAGTGTTTTTTTTTTTTTTTTTTTTTTTTCAGTACAATTATATAATATTTAATTTGCATTTAAATGTAGTTTAATTTTGAATTAGTGTTTGACATGTAATTATGATTATGGTATAGTTTTAAGATATATTTAGCTAACGTAAGGTATTGATTTTATGAACATATAGTTAACAAATTATGTACATATAAATTTTAAAAAAAAAAACGCCACTTTTAAAAGTTACAAAATGACATAAGCCCCTATGACATTGGTATAGTGGATGAAAAGTCTTACTTAAGATTTGCTCCTGGTGGTAGAGTGTGGATTTGATTCACGGCACGAATATTTGGTGTTTGGGTATGGATTGTGGTTGGACTCTTTGTGCGCATAAATTTACAGTTTAATAGATTGACTCGACTTACCAACTCATGGGCCCAGAGACAGGTTCATGGGTCCAAGATAGAGTTTTTTCCACTTTTGGTCCCTCGACTTCACTTGTGTTGACAAATGGGATTCACGACTTTTATTCCGGACATAATAGGTGCTCAACTTTAATTTTTTTTTCCACATTTGGTCCCATCCGACCAAGAACCCGGCCAACCCACTGGAATTAGACTCAACCCTTATTATGTTAAGGGTATTCTAGTCATTTCTAACCAATGTAAAATGTAAAATGATTAAATA